TAAATTGAATTTTGAAATTTTATAACCAAATATATTTGAGAAAAGAGAAAAAAATTCATAGCCAAGCATCTCGGTCATAAATTTTAACCAAAAGTTTCAATTTATTTTTGTGGTCAAACACAATTTTTAAAATAATATAATAATAAATTATTTCAACGAAAATAAATAATTATTATGGGCGAATCATAAAAAAGTGTATATACTACACTACCGGTTTGAGTTATTGTTTATAACAAACGTAAAAAAAGTTACTCATGGTAACTCTGAAATATGATAATTTGAAAAGTAGAGTAAAAACTAATATGAATTACTATATTTTTTATCATGTAAAGTTTCTTTACACTTTCCATATTATTAACCGGATATAACAAAGTCGTTATTACATGTTAGATTTGCTATGAAATTTGCAAATAGTCTATATATACAGAGGCGGAGCTAGGTGGAGTTCGTGAATTCGGACGAACTCAGTAATTTTTTTGTAGATCCTGTATTTGTACTAGAAAATTAGTTAAATATGTATGTATATCAATCTGTGAACCCCTAGCAAAATTGATTGACAGTTTTAAAAGAAATTTAGAACCCCCAAAATCCTAATCCTGCATTCGCCTCTGTCTATATATATGATTAGAAAAATCTGTTGTACTAAGGTAAAATCATATGATTTATAAATTAAAACTTTATATAAGCTAATATCTTCGACTAATTATTTTTCGTCTGATAAGCAACTCTTATTTTCTGCTAAAATATTTGTCTGCACAACACCAAAGAACAAAACAAAAAAGTTGTTCAATAATTAAATAATGAAAATCACCTTAATCGAAAAACAAACTTCTTTACAATTGCATAGGTGAATTCAAGATTTAAATTATGTGAATTTAATTTTTTTAAAATTATAAGTTCATGCCTATTACTTATTGTATGATTTTAATAAATGTATATTTTACATCAAAAGTTATAGATTCAATTAATTATGTACCAATAACGATACATTCTGCCTCATTTACCTGTCAAAAGTTATGGATTCAATTAATATCATACCGATAATGATATATCCTCCCTATTTACAAGTCAAAAGTTATGAATTCAATTGATCCTATATTGGTGGATCTGCCCCGTTTAGAAGTAGTTATATCTTATACACCTAATATGTGGTTGGCATTATGGATTATTAAAATGATTTAAAGCTAAGCAAAAAAGGAAAACTTAGGCATTGAAGCATATTCCTCTAAAAACATAGGTATCTAGGCTTTTTAGTGTTTCGATTTCATATTCTTCTTTAACTTTAATATGAATTTTGATGCCAAATAAATCGTTGTTAAGTGTCTTTTCTAATTTGTGCAATTTTTTTGTTTTTACAAAGTTATTCTAGTCATGTGTAAAATGATATGTTTGCCTACATTTGCTTGTCTTAATTAGCTATATGTTTGTACTCCCACTATATAATTACTTTTTCCATGCTTGTCCTTATTAATTAAGTGATTTGTCATTACCTAATCCCCAATAAAACAAGGACTTGTATATAAATTAAAGAGGTTCATTTTCTAATTTCTACCTACTATGATTGTTATTAATCACTCAGAATTTTCATCAACTTAAAAACAACAATAACAACATATTATGTGAAATTTCACTAGTAACATCTGAAAATGGTAAAATGTAAGCAAACTTTACCACTACTTCATAAAGATAGAAATGTTATTTTTGAAGGACCCTCGAGAGTCGGGCCTCGACTGAAATACAACAAATTCAGATATAAAAAAAAGAAAATAATGGAGACCTCGTAAAAATAAAAAAATTATCACTAATATATTTGAGGTCGTAATTTAAACTTGAAAATATAATAATGACTAAGAAATACCAACTGTCTTAGAAAACGAAATGCAATCATGAGACATATTATCAGTACTTCCAAAATTAAGAGGGAAAATTGAAAGAAAAAGGTTGAAGGGCAGAATAGGAATTCACAATGAACATTTATAGCCAACCACAAACTTTTAAGTCACAGTATCACTAGCATTAAAAGCAATAAAATTTCAATCAAGACTTAGGGCTAAGGGCAAAATGGAGGTCCCCTACCCCCCAACAAAAAGACACATTTTAATTTGATAAGTTATACTAATATATTTTCTCCGTTTAATTTAAGATCACACGATTCAAACACTACAAATAAAATTGTTAATTTCTAGTAGACACTCCATCGAAATATGGCTCGTTGATAAAGATTTTATAGATTAGTGACTAGTTAAATTCTAATGCATTCTGTTCAGAATTAACAATTTTAGGAGAGAAAATTTTTATTTCTTTAATTATATATAAACTTCATGAATCATGTCTAGTTAAATTAGGACAGTTAAATTAAAACGAAAGAAATATTAATCATCAACAAATAATATAACGTGACTTCTCATCATAAACAGGACCTTTCACCAACATAGCTAAATGGTGGGACTCTCTATTTTTATTTCATTGATCTTCATAAATCTTTAAATAGTTATGAATGGTCTCTAAAGTACCCACTCATGGGTTTTTTTTTTCTTTCTGTATTTCCATTAATGTATTTGTTGAACTTTATAAAGTTTTATCCTGATTATATTCTACAACTACAATTATGTTTCTTTTTTCTCGATATCAAATAATAGTGACCTTGATCCATTATTGTTTTTATTTGTATCCTTAAAGATAGAGAGACGAAAACTGAAATCGAATAAATATATAAAAGAAAAAAAAGTTTAAGGAAGAAGTGCATGTTTATGATTTAAATTTGATCGATTAAATATTTAAAAACCTTAATACTGAAATTATCAAAATTATGAAATTAGAAGACAAAAATCTGTTGAACAAATGGATCTTTCTATATAGTTATTAACTTTATTCATTTTGAACTTTACATATTCCTTAAGAAATAAAGTAAGTAATTAATGCCAACGGTAAAACAGATGTAAACAAACGGAGGAGTATTAAGGACACAAATCCCACTAATTTACCTTTTAACACTTTGATGCAATTAAATAAAATATTATAATTGCAGGAATCCAACTAATGACGGTCTAAACTCTAATTGTATTAAAATAATTTGATTCTCTCAGTTGCATTGTTATGGCACTATAAGGTTTTTGAAATAATTAAACAAATAGGGTGTATTAATTTATTCTCTGGTTGTCCTTGTCAAACTGTATTAACGACTAATATACAATTAATTAAGTTATTTATTAACGACTGTAAATTTTCAATCAGTACTTAGCTTGTCACTTTGTTAACACGAGGGTATGTTTGATAAAAGTTATACGTTAAAACTTAATTAATAAGGTTAATTTAATAAAATAAATATTTTGTTAAGGTGAGGAGGTATCAAATTAACAAGGGCCAAATAAAATAAAACGGAGAAAGTATATATGAACCAATTTAGCATATTTTATTTCATGTTGAATTTTCTCTATCGTAGATGCTTAGATTCATTTAAAGGTGTAAATCATTAATGGAAAAATGTATATATTGCATTTATTCATATACTTATACTTCCCATATATAAGGAAGAAGGTAGAAATGACAAAATCAAACTCAATCCGTTCAACTTATTTAAGATTAGACGAATTATTGATCCACTCATTCATTAACTCAGTCTATTTTTAACTCAATCCACTTTAACTCATTTTTAGAGAAGGGAGTTTTTTTCTTTACGATAGTACCATCAAAGAAATGATTTTTTATAAATACCTACCAATGTTTCTTTCACTAATACCTTCTAAATTAAATATTACTCTTATGTTCCAATTTACCAATATTTCCCTTTTAAAACCTTTAATTAATATTGAACAAATATTTATTACTTTTTCACAAATTCTTGTCGCTATCATAGTAAAATTCAGTTAACCCATCAAAGTTAGTTAAAGTAAAAAAAAGAAAAAAAGTAAAATCCCATAACAGTAAAAATGAAAAGTAGACAAGGGTGTGGGGTGATGAAAACAAGGTAAAATAAAATTAAAATACGTCAGATTCTGCACTACTTTTACACTCATTGATTTCATAAATGGACAACACACACAGCTGGAATTGTACACTTGTGTCTCATCTTTCATCTCCATCCACCGCCAAGATGTGTTGCAGTGGTTGAAACTATCTTAATTTCAATTTGAAATTTAAAATTTGAGTTTTAAATATAATTTTTTTTTATAAATAGTGTTTTCTCTCAAGTGAGGCTTGATATAGTGTAAATTTAAATTAGTTAAATTTTAATATGAATATTGAATATCAAACGTAAAATGAAATAAAAAATAAAAAAATACTTCCATCTCCATTCTCCACCCTACAAATTTCAGAATAATTAAATAAATAAATATACAATCAACTCTCCTTGAAGATTCCTTCACTTTTTCCCCAACCACCCCTCCAA